GAACAAACCAGATAAAAGGCCAGATAACAAAAAATTTCGAGTGTTTTGGTCATAAATGTCCATTTTCAAAGATAAATCCGCAATATGTTCCTTGTCGGTTTCCAGGGATATAAGAGTACCGTTTCCCAGCGGTTCGATTTCAACATTTACCATATTTTTAATGAACGATGATGAACATTTAAATTCATGGAGGATGATTGAAAGAGACGACATTGTTGCCTAGTTGCCTCTCCGATGACGAACTTTCATATAGTTTTTACATAATTCAAGTATAATTATTTAAAAAATTGTTAAATTATTGTTGTTAGGCTGTTTATTTTGAAAGCGGGTAGATCGATCAATTAGATTAATTTGACCTGAGACATTTCACCATGAGGCCATATCCGTAAAACTAATCCATTACGTTACGTGTAAGAAGAAGGACGAAAAGCAATAAAAAAGAACTTCAACAACCTGTGAGGCCGGAAAACAAGACAAAACAACAAAGATGGAAAAATAAATGAATATAGCACAAAATGCCGAAACGTCGACGAATAAAATTAATCTTAATTGATTGATAAATCTTTATGTAAGGTATTGGTTGAAATGAAAAAGTGTCACGAACGGGATTCGAACCCACGACCTTCGGCTAAATACGCCGCTGCTCTACCACTTGAACTATCGTGACTAAGATCCTCTCGGACACGAACTCTCCATTTAATAAGTAAAACGAAGTATATCTTCACTAAGCTCTCCGCGGCCATCTCATTTGTCGCGAGAATCGAATCCTAATTACACGACATTTGAAAAATGGAAAGAAAAAAAACGGGAAAATTGGAAAGGTAGGTTGAGATGGGAGATTGGTGTCCGAGTGGATCGAAATCACGACAGCTCAAGTGGTCAGAGCAGCGGCGTGTTGAGCCGAAGGTCGAGGGTTCGAATCTCGCTTGTGACACAAACTTTTTTCATTTCAGCCATTGCCTTACATAAAGATTAATTACTTGAAAGAAGTTATTTGGTCAATTGGGCTACGAAATATAATGGATTTATTTCCGATATTCCACTAAATCCCAATTATTGTTTGAAGATAAAACCAAATGAAACAAGACACAGTCCGATAATTATATATTTTCAGCAGACGAAATAAATATGAAAATCTTTTGAAATAGCATAGGATTTTATATTAAATCATCATCATCATATAACCTAACTACTCTAAAGAAAATATATGTTTTAAACAAATGCAACATGTTCATTAGGTAAGTGAATAATCTAAGTCTTTTGTATCACCTAATGATAACAAAATTTGTCAACAAATCGATTCAAAAAATCTATATAAAAAAATAATAAGCAAGAACGATTAACGAGGAAAACAGGTTTATATTTAAAAAATGTCACGTAGTCACCTTTGCTCTAACAACTTAATCTATCGTGACTTCGACCACTCAACACCAACTTCCCCATCTCAACCTACAACCGAATTTTTTCTCCTTTTTGCCATTTTTCATTTCAACCAATACCTTACATAAAGATTAATTAATTGAAAGAAGTTATTTGGTCAATCGGACCACGAAATTAAATGGCTTAACACCAATAAATTAATATATACAACTAATCCAAAACTGAATAAGAAGAAGAATAACAAAAACTAAAAGGAAAATAATTACTGAAAGTTGTAAGGTTGAAGCAAAACTAGGTGTTAAATATGGTTTTGTCGGTTGGAAGTTGGAACCGTTCAAGTATTTTCCCGGTCCTTGCTGATTCGTTTTCCCTGTTTTCTTTCGGAGTTTGAACGTTCTTCGAGAAATTGGATATTTGTGACAACAAAGGTATCGCTTTCACCTTTACTGGATGACAAACGGTAGATGGGCCGAGAGGGGACGAACATTAATGGACAGTCCTAGTAAACAGTCGCCGGCCTTTTATTTAAATTAGAATAAACCTATTTGGAACACGGGTTTTTAGAAAGTTTTCTGAAGACGCTTCCAATTATCACGTGGCGTTCTATTTATAGGGGGATATCAAAGCGAAGATTGACGGATTCGTCGTATTATCGCATCCCCCTTCCACGTTTCGGCATTTTATCTGACGAGCCGCGGGCCTATAAACGACCTGTTAACTAATGATATGTTAACCGGCCTCGTCCTTGGCGTCTGTTCTAAATTTAACAGGCCCTTCAAGATCCGAGGATTAGCAAATATGTATTTTGACAATACCAAATTAGCCACTTTTTCTAAATTCTGTTAACTCGCTAATTTCATTTGGCGTCGCCGTCCATTATTGTCATGGCCCTCTGTCTGCTGGGGATTGAAAATTCCATTCGCCCTCTCTGCCACGGCCATAAGAATTTAATTAAAATTGAATGGGATCGCATTTTTAAAAGTTCCACAACCGTTTTGAATGTTTCTATATCTAAAATAACATTTTATAATGTGTATAACTTTGTAGTTTGTTATTAAAACTTAAACGATTTATTAAATTAATCCATATTTGCTTAGTGGTCATAATTGGCCATATTAATTATTCTTTTTATCTAAGGTCTGGATTCGATTCTCAGCAACTTATGAAGTGGCCACAGGGAGGTGTTAGTGAAGTAATCACTGGTTTTAATTAATAAATTAATCCATAATTGCATAGTGGTCATAATCAACCATATTAATTATTCCAATTGAGTATTCTTTATATTTATTGTTTTTGATGGGATGATAAATTAGTGTCATGAACAGGATTTGAACCCACGACCTTCGGCTCAATATGCCACTTTGAATCCCGCTCGTGACACTAATTTTTCATCTCAACCAAAAACCTAGTGATAAAAGGAATAATCAATTGGAATGATTAACATGGTCAATTGTAACCACTAAGCAAATATGGATTAATTTAATAATTATAAGAAGTGAAGACCACTTCATAAGTCGCTGAGAATCGAATCCTGATTACATGACGTTTGAAATTTCATATGGCAAAAAGAGGAAAAGTTTGAAGGATTGTAGGTTGAGATGAGGAGTTGGTATCCGATAGTTCAAGTGGTTAGGGCAGCGGTGTATTGAGCCGAAGGTCGTGGGTTTGAACCCGCTCGTGACACTAATTTTTCACATCAACCAAAAACCATAGATAAAAAGCATAATCAATTGGAATAATTAATATGTTCGATTATAACCACTAAGCAATTTAATAATTAAAAGAAGTTAAGGCCACTTCATAAGTCGCTGATAAAATGATATTATTATATTATTAATATAATAATATAATCATTATGTAATTATTATATTATTGATGTGTAATAATAACGTATAATTATTATATTATTGATAAAAAGAATAATCAATTGGACTAAATACTTTATTTTTATAACCATTGATGTACAGGGTGACCAATGATATGTGCTCCAACCACTTGTTTTTTAATTAAGCCAACTTAAAAAATAATAATAATAATAATAATAATAATACATGAATGGAAGAATAAAAGGATAAGGATGAGCCAATACTCATGCTGAGACTGTTGCTAGTCTGACTCCATTATTATTATTATTATTAGCCGTACAAGCCTACGGGGAATTTTTAAATTATGGAACAAAATTCACAATTCTAATTAAAAAAAGAAACAGAAATAAATTTTATAAATTTATTAAATTTTATGCAATTTAAAATGGGAATTTTGTATGCATTTGGCCTTCCGAATTAAGAATTTTAAAAAGAAAAATTAAAGCTTGGATGGCAATAGGATAAATAAGATTACGAGTGAATGTTTGGAGTCAGAGCTTTATAGCACTCAGAAGAGATATAGCTAACCTAAGATAGAAGGTTTGGATGTTAGGGCGTGAAATGACCTTAGCCGTTAAAACGCCCTTAAAAATTAATAATAATAATAATAATACACACATGGTTTCCAATATACATATTTTATTTTTTACCTTATTATTAACCTTTTTTCCCAAATGGGACCTTATTACTTTTTTCACATTTTTGATAGTGTCCAGTTGAAAGCATCAAAACATGATTTTTTTAAATTGGATATTCCATTAAAAATTTATTCTCAATTTTGTACAGGAAATAAGTTGCTTCCCTATAACTACACACCTTTTTAGAAATGTCTCAAAATGTTCTTAGAAATTTCTCAATGTTTCAATTATATTCCCTTATGTAAGGATGGTTAAAACGTTTGTTCGGAGTCTAAAAGACTTAAATAAGTACCACACAGGCTCTTTTTTTAAATAAACTGTTATAAAATATTAATGACTGACGACCACTGGTTTAACTATTGTGTTAACTCACCTGAGGAAGGATTAAAATAAATCCGAAACGTTGTGGATAAAAACTGGTTGTGGTTTTTTTGGGATGACCTATTATCCCACCTTCAAGGAGGAAAAATCATAACTTATATAAGGAGTTAAAAACTTTTCCAGCAATATTTGTTTTAAAAAATGATAATCTCTGTTCATATGAGCTTTGGGTTGGTATTTAAGCTACGTTGTGTAGTTTTACATCTAACCTCCCCCATATGGATTAGAGGTCGTCTGGGTTTCTGTACTCTCTGCCATTGAGTTAGTTTTTCACTTGTTGGCAGTGTTCAATTCTGGGTGAAATTTGTTTCACCTCAATTGCTTCATTCTGTCAAGAGGTGACCTGGTGCAGTTTTTGGGGGACCCCTCGACACTTGATTCGTTAAGCAAGGCGCGCATGAAGTTACAGATATGACCTGGTACAAGAATTTAAAAAAATAAATTTATATGCAACTCTATTCTTTATATGCAACAGCAGAGTCAACCCCCCGAATGCTGGTGTTTTTGAAAAAAAAATAGCCTATTTGTAAGCATGTCGAATGCCAGGGCTGCTGGATTACCTTACAGAGCTCCCTGTCAATACCTATACACACAAATATTTTTTACATCATATATTTCAAATAAGTACTGTCAAATTCTTTAACTGACATTTTACGCTCTTTGTGACAAACTCACCAAATTCTTAGAAATTTAAACACCAACAGAACTAATCAAGTTTTTTCTCCTAATGTTGCAGAAAAGTGGTATGCTGAGGCACAGTGGTCTCCCATTCAGAATGGGATGCCCCTCTTCAAACTTTTTAATTCAAAGGTATTTCATTTCTAATTCGTCTTGTTATTTTATAAATTCAATTTTTTTTTAATATAAGGTGAGGGTGTGGTGAGGGGGGGATGGTGCGGCTCCCCGCGGCACTCCTAGCTCTCCTCATACTGAGTGTGGCACCATCTTGGGCCCAGGTTATCAAGAACTTGACTGTCGGCTACCTGACAGCAATGAAGGGCACTCTCAAGGATCGCCAAGGCCTGGCAATATCAGGCGCTGTCACAATGGCACTTCATGATGTAAGCCGTCAAAAGATGAGGGCCACTAGATGTACTGATACATAACTTAAATTGCAGGTTAATGAGGATCCTGAGCTATTACCAAATGTCACTCTGGTACTTCGATGGAGTGACACGCGGGGTGATACTGTCGCAGCAACACGAGCCATCACCGATATGGTTTGTGATGGTGTTTCAGCATTTTTTGGTCCTGAAGGATCATGCCATGTTGAGGCCATTGTCGCACAGTCCAGGAACATACCAATGATCAGTTATGTAAGTTTCTTTCATATTTTACGTATTATCATGCTAAACTAGGAAATTATAGAACATTTTTTTCTTTTTGTCTTTGTAGAAATGTTCCGATTATAGAGCATCTGCCGTACCTACATTTGCAAGGACAGAACCTCCCAATACTCAGGTTTTTTTAAGCTTTTGTTTTGTTTTAATTTCTGTTCTTGTTTGTAATTTAACATGAAAAATAATTGTTGGGGATTTAATCTATAGGTAACCAAATCTGTGATCTCACTTTTACGTTATTACAACTGGAAGAAATTCTCTATAATAACTGAAGACACGTGGTCAACAGTGGCAAAGAGTCTTGAAATAGAAGCAAAGAAGCACAACATGAATATAAGCTATTTAAGAAATATACAAGACAGGCACAAATGTTGTGAACAATCGTTAAGTTGCTGTCACAGTGGTTTTTGGTACCAGATAATCCAAGAGACAAAAAAAAGGACAAGAAGTAATTTTCATAAATCTTTCGAATGGATATTTTTTATGAAACAAAATTTATTTTTTTCTTCAATTTCAGTATACGTATTTCTTGGGACATCTATGTCGTTAATTGACATGATGACAACAATGCAAGCATTAGAAATGTTTGAAAAAGGAGAATATTTAGTCATTTATATTGACATGATGACTTATTCCCCCAGAGAAGCTATCAAATATTTGTGGAGTAAGTCATTCACTTGTAAAACTATGTACTTTTAAAATTAAATAAATAAAATTTAAACTAATAATAGCATCAATGTTTCATTATTTTAATGAATAATCTTGTGATGATACAAAAATGTTTTATGTGAACTTTTTAACCACACATTTTAATTTTTATTGCATGCACATTATGTCACTTTAAACATAAAAACCCTTCAGTTAAAAAAAAAAAAACCTTTTCAGTATTTTTATGTCTTTTATTGACTATTTTATTTTAATAGATTCTTATATTTTGGATGTATTGAGATTATTTATATTTATATTTCGTATTAATATTTTTTGTTTTTTTAGAACCTTCAGTTTATAACAAACTCAATTCTTGCCAAGAGCAGCCTGGTTTTATAAAAAGGGCACGTTCTCTGTTGGTGGTTGTATCCTCACCGCCAGTTGAAGATTATGAAAAGTTCACGGAAAGAGTACGGATGTTCAATGCAATGGAGCCATTTAATTTTGCCACGCCGACATTGTTTTTAAACGGCTCATACTTGAAAGTAAGATTCAAAGGTGCTTCAGAATTTTTCAGTTATAGAAATTTTCATTCATATTTCGATCAGATCCTAAAAGTCATAGGTTGTTTATGAAATTTATTCTTTTTCAGTTTGTTTCAATATACGCCGCTTACCTGTACGATTCAGTTAAGCTGTATGCGATAGCTCTAGACAAGTTACTTAAGAAAGAACCATTTCTCAATGAAACAATCATAGAAGAAATTGCAAGTAATGGGACAAATATAATTCAAACTATTATTGACACCCGCACATATGAAAGTAAGTTGAGTGAAAATGTAGTTTAAGTTAAGTGTATAATGCAATGTATTCTAGGTATAACGGGTACGATGATCACACTAGACAGTAATGGAGATTCAGAAGGTAATTTTTCTGTCCTTGCTTTCAAACCTCGTCAGCTCGCTGAAGATAACTTTACTTGCTCCCATCAAATGGTTCCTGTTGGGATATTCCTTCACGGTGCTTCACTTCCTGTAAGTATAGAATGAATCCAAAGTTTTTACCAGTTTTCATAACATGTATTGTTTATAATTACAGGAATTTAAAATCAATACTTCTGTGGATTGGGCAATAGAAAAACCAGAGGATGAACCTTCGTGCGGTTTCGACTATGAACTGTGTGCCAAGGACGATTCACAAAGAGGTTCAATTATAGTGGCAGGAACACTAGCCCTACTTTTGTTCTGTTCAACTGTGATAACATTAAGTATATATAGAAAATGGAAGATCGAACAAGAGATTGAAGGCCTCTTGTGGAAAATTGATCCCCAAGAGCTTCTAGACTATCAAGACATTGTATCTTCACCGAGCAAGGTATTAAATTAATATTTATAATTACTAAATTTAATTAATGTGTTTGAATTGTTGTTCAACTGTGGAATGTTTGATGTGTATCTAATTATTGTTATGCATAGTTTCATTTTAACTCTTCCGTTTGAAAAATGACTACAATTTCTAAAAAACTTTTATAATGTTAAAAAATATGGGGTGTGATTTATAAATATGTACAACATTGATTCAAAATATTTATTCCTCTCGTATAAATTAAAGTTAAATAACAGAACAAATAATGAAGAACGAATCGGGGAAAGCTGATAGAAGAGGGTTTATACTCTTTCAAAGCTTATACTTTCTTTTATAAGGCTTAGAATCCAGCTTGAACTATGACTGTATAGTCCAGGAAAGTCAACTCAACTTCCATCTTCAACCATCATTTTGTTTTTCCTTTTGTTTTCTTTCCATTGAGGTATAGACAGATCAAGACACAGGGGGCAACCTCTTCATCTTCCGGTACAACGTCTTATGCCTTTTTTCAAAATCCAATTCAGAGATGTTAACAAATACTAGTGAGATTTAAAAATAAAAATAAAAAAGTGCTGCTGTGATAAACTAGCATGTGCACAAAAAGATTGATTTAAAATATTGATTATTATAATTTAAAAGATTGATATGTTATGCCAAACAATTAGAGCATGTGGTATTACAAGAAGAAATTGAGTCTAATCCAGATTTAATATTTCAAGAATTATTTAAAATGCTTCCAACACACCTGGACAAAACAAAGTAGGATTATACATATATTTACAATTAATTAAGGTTTTTAGTTGTGATGAAAAAAAGTTAATGGCACGAGAGGGATTCGAACCCACGACCTTTGGCTAGATACGCCGCTGCTCTACCACTTGAGCTATCGTGACCTCGATCCACTCGGACATCAACTCCCCATCTCAACCCCACCTTATGAGTTTTCCCTCCTTTTGNATCTAGCCGAAGATCGTGGGTTCGAATCCCTCTCGTGCCATTAACTTTTTTTCATCTCAACTAAAAACCTTAATTAATTGTAAAGTATTAATTGGTCAAGTGGACCACGAAATTAGTGAATTTAGGGAATTATACATATATATGAATTCATCTTTTGTGGCAAACACTCATTTTTATGTATCAGGGGATATGTTGGGATGCTGTATGGAAATGTTACAAATGGTGATAGCCGCTAAATCAAAAAACTAAACCAACTGATAAGCACAGTTTGTACCATTTAAAAGTTATGAGTAAAATTCAAAGCAAGTTTTTAATTCTGATCTACTATGAATTACGTTGATGGATCCAGACATACAACAGACAAATACAAATGAACATTGTGACACATATCAACATCTGTGCAGCAAGGCATCATTCAATCCAATCTATTCTTGTTGAAAACATACTGGTTTAGTGTTGTTAGTACATGTACTGTAGTACATTGCAAGTCAAAATTATGGATTGAGTCTACATACTCATGATCTTGTATACAAAATCAGAAGAAACTTTGGTAGAAAGTGAAATGTGTGGAAAATGGCAATGTCTATACCCACCTTGCCATTACCATAAATTGTGAATAAACGAGTATTCACAATTATTATTTATTCAATAGTTCAGACTTAGCTTCGTCTGGCAATAATTTATTTTGGCCACAGGAATATGTGCTCATGAAAACTATATTTTTCAATAAAGCATTTTTGCCTTATTTTTATTTTCTTGCAAACAAAAACTATTATTTATTTTACAGTTGAGTTTAGTCAGTGCTACATCTTTTGAATCGAGATGTGGCCCACAAATGTTTGCAACCACTGGGCAGTACCGAGGTATTATGGTGAGGGTGAAGGAAATAAAATTTTCCAAGAAGAAAGATATAACACGTGAAATAATGAAGGAAATGCGCATATTGAGGGAGTTCCGCCATGATAACGTGAACTCTTTTATTGGTGCTGTTGTCGAACCCATGAGGATACTTATTGTCACAGATTATTGCGCAAAGGGAAGCCTTTATGTAAGTGGATCACACCTATGTACATTTTATTTTTTAATTAATTTATTTTTTATTCAAGGACATTGTGGAGAATGAGGATATTAAGCTGGACAAAATGTTTGTAGCTTCTTTAGTCATGGACCTCGTCAAAGGGATGATCTATATTCACAGTTCGACCCTTGGGGTTCACGGAAACCTCAAATCTTCCAATTGTGTTGTTACATCTCGTTGGGTCCTGCAAGTGGCCGATTTTGGACTGCACGAATTGAAGAACTGCCCTGAGAATGATAGCATCGGGGAACATCAGTACTACAGAAGTATATACTTTGTAAATAGAAAAATTCCAGTTTCTCTGAGGTTTAGATTATTTTTTCCAAAACTGTAGAGTTTCTAGTTTAGTCAGGTCTCAATAGAAGGAGTAGAAGAAAAATTTCAAAACTTCATTTCTTTGTCTAATGTTAGAGCAGTTTATGATGTCACAATTTTGAATATTCATTGAAGTAGGAAATTTCAAGTAGTTGTATATTAAAATGAGGAGTTGGTGTCTTGGGGGACTAAATATAATCTCAATGGTAGAACACCAGAGAATTTATCGAAAGTCATGGGTATAAAAGTTAAAAAAAACTTTAAAAATATATATTCTCTTCTTTCAACTTTTAACTTTGTTGGCTTAAAGTGCAAATTATATTTAAAACTGCCACCTGAGAAATTTTGGAGTTTATAAACTAATTCTGGATTCAACCATTATTGTTTAACACGGGAAAGTTTTTGACATCCCATTTTTACCAAATCTTCGTAACACAGGTTCACCCAAATAACTGGAATTAATTAGGAGAGACTATATGTTATACTTGTCTTCCTCACATAACCAATTTTTATTTAAATTATTGAAGAATATTGTATAATGAGATGTCATAGCTATTTATTTATAGGTCAGCTATGGGTAGCACCTGAGTTATTGAGAAAAAGTCCTCCTCCGAGAGGAACACAGAAAGGTGATGTTTATGCGTTTGGAATAATTATGCATGAAATCATAGGCCGCCGTGGTCCATTTGGCGCATGCGGTGAAAGCGAACCAGAAGGTAAGTTTCCTTTCAATTTTAAAAATTGACAGTTTTATTGATACTTTATTTTAAAAAATTTAGAAATATACAAAAAGGTCAAACAAGTGCCTCAACTGGACGAAGCACCTTTTAGACCCAGCTTGGACATAATTAGAGACTCTGAAGTATGCTCAGATCAGGTGTTGTCTGTAATAGCTGAATCTTGGTCGGAAGAGCCTGAACAAAGACCTGATTTTCAAAGCATCAGGGTGCGCTTAAAAAGCATGCGGGAAGGAAAGTGAGTTCTGAATTATGTATTAGTAAATTTAATATAATCAACATCTTAGATCCATATAGAAGCTAGTTATATTAATTATACTAAATAAACAATTACTGTTTTTGTTTCTCTTCAGGCAAAGAAATATCATGGATCAAATGATGGACATGATGGAAAAGTATGCTAACAATCTTGAAGAAATTGTCAACCAGAGAACATTAGAAGTTTATGAAGAGAAGCGAAAGACAGAAGATCTTTTGCACAGGATGTTACCTGAGTAAGAAAATAATTCATAAAGGGCGTGTACGCAATAATCATGGTTGAGATTGTTCGATTGTCTTATCTCGTATTTGTCACTTTGCTATTCAAAGTTCCCATGTCCTTAAAATTTTCATTAACAATTTGTTTAAACATTTGAAAAAGTAAAACTCCCGTCTTTGGCATGCTATAAATCTTTGTAGCTTTTCAGAATAATTTGTAAAATGTTTTCACACTTGTAAATAACATTAAATTATTAATTGCAAGATTATTAATGTTAACAATTTTGTATTAAACATCAGGGATTAGGTATTCAGAATGTTTGATCCAAATTATTTTTCAATATCTGAGTATTGTAAAATTAATGGTTGGTCTAATAAGACCAGTTTTAATAAATAAATTTAATTAATAAAACAAACAAAAAAATATCTGAGTATTTTTGTGAGCAGGAACTCAGCGTTTTTCTTTTCTTTCAAATTGGTCTTATTCCTGATTTTTAACACAAAATTATAATATTAATGGCTGGTATTAATTAACATATATTGAGATAGGTAATTCTTATTTTATGCACATTGCTAGATTTTGCCATTATTAAACCATATTTTTTACCTCTATGCAGGCTAACCTTTGAATCAAAAACACAATTTTTTTAAATTAACTAAATTTATTATAATATTTACAGAGATATCAAGGTGAAATTTGTTATTTTATATTAGAACAGAAACCAGATCAATAAAATTTAAAAAAAGGAAAGAAAGTGGACATTATATTGTTTGCACTTACAAGTTTTAGAATTTTATTTGTTTATAATTGCAAATCTGAATAGGCATATGAAAGTCTTGGTGTGTTTCAGCATCCCATTCAACATTATATACACTCTGAAAAATCTAATCTTGTATACATATTATCTTCTCCCAAAATAAGTTTCTCTTGGTGTCCTTTTTGACAGACTGAACACGTGTAATGATGTGTACATTGACTTCTTAGCTGAATAAACGATTTAATAGATATGTAAAATAATTAACAATACATCAAATCTTCTTGATGGACTCTAATATGTTAAGACATGGAATCCTATTGGGTACAATACTTTCTAAAAAAGATGGTTCCTACTTACATTAAGTTGTTTCGCAACAATCCAGATTTTGAGCCCTTTAGCTCATCATCAGGTTGAAGGGTTTCTGCAAACACATCTCTCGACATGAATTGCAGAAGTCTGGCATGTCGAGAGACGTGTTTGTAGAAACTCTTCAACCTGACGATGAGTTAAAGGGCTTGAAATCCGGATTGTTGCAAAACAACTTAATGTAAGTAGGAAACATCTTTTTTAAAAAGGATTGAACTCCACACCTACCCCATCATTTATAATTTCTGTCCTATTGGGTACTGTTCGCAGCCTAATTCTCCTTCAATCTGTATTACAGCAGATCTTAACTGACTCAGTTGAACTTACAAAAAATATTCTTTGCTGATGAATTAACATTATTGTGAGGTACAATTACTGCTGAAATTGCAAAACCATATAACATTTATACTAAATCGTTTAGCACTCTTCTAGGGACTGAAGATAAGGGGCGCTATTACTGGGGAAAAATTTAATGATTCAAAATAGAAAATATTTATATCAAAATGTTCTATAGTGTGAAATAGATAAGGGTTTTTATTTTTTAAATTAATTTAGTTTTTTTTTAATGTAAAGTTTCATCTTTACATCTTTTATTGCACACAAAAATTTTGGAAATTGTCTTTAATGCTTCTAAAACATCGATTATTTTCAGCTCTGTTATTACAGATGATTCTGTTTAATTTTTTCTCCTTTCTTTTGGGGCTGTTTCTGTTCATTCAACGAAGTTTCAAGCCTTGAAACTTCGATTAACGCACAAGTGATTAAATTTGTGGCCACATTTGTAGGGGAGAGAGAAAATTCACAACAATTATTTTCACAAAATACACTAGATCATGGTACTCTTGGTAATGTGGATACAATGTCTTCTTTTGCGTGCTTTAATCTTTAATCAAATTAATTATTCTTTTTATCTAAGGTTTTGGTTGAGATGAAAAATTAGTGCCACGAGTGGGATTCGAACCCACAACCTTCGGCTCAGTACACTGCTGTTGTCACGATAGCTCAAGTAGCTAGAGAAGCGGCGTATTGAGCCGAAGGTGTATCCCACTCGTGAAACTGATTTTTCATCTCAAACAAAAACCATACATAAAAAGAAAAATCAATTGGAATAATTAATATGGTCAATTACGACCACTAAACAAATATGGATCTTAACCTTTAATCTCAAGTGTTTATTCTTTTCATCAGAGCTTGGTTGGGAAATTTGAGCTTTAAAATGAATATTCTGCCCTGTAACGGGAAAAAGAATGTTGTATCCAGGAAATCATTATAAACGGGAGCGCTATATTATAAAATAAAAAATAATACACATATTATATATTATAAAATAATATAAAATAACGTTATATATTATAATATCTCTATGATCATGAGGTAATTGTGGAAAAAAGCTGTAAATATAATAAAATGCTTTAACCAATAAACTATGGTGCTTATATCAACTGTTACTTCTTTTCCATCAAACTTTCATAATTGGAATAATTTTTTTTTCTTCAGTGATGCTGCTGAGATAGGCACAATTGTTTCAAAAATAACTCGTGACTTTCTAAGATCTGTAACAATTTTGTTTTGTTTTTCACAGGCCAGTAGCAAAGAGTTTAACAAAGGGATTTGGGGTCGAACCAGAGTCTTTTGATCTAGTCACTATTTACTTTAGCGATATTGTAGGATTCACGGCGATGTCAGCAGAAAGCTCACCCCTGCAGGTAAAGAATTTAGCATTTTAAACATTACTGGGATTTTGTTTTCAATAAAAATTATCTTTCAGGTTGTTAATTTCCTAAATGATCTCTATACACTTTTTGACAGAATTATTAAAGGTTATGATGTTTACAAAGTTGAAACAATCGGAGATGCTTACATGGTGGTAAGTTATTTGTTGTTATTAGTTTGAACTCATTTAAGCTTTCACAAAATTGATTGTTTAGAAATCTCACTTCTATATATCAAATATAATTTGAAACCTTGATTTCTCAGGTATCAGGTCTTCCCATCCGAAATGGAAATTGTCATGCAGGAGAAATTGCATCGATGAGTTTAGATTTACTCCAAGCTGTTAAGAACTATCAAATCTCGCATAGACCAAACGAAACTTTAAAGTTGAGAATCGGCATACACACAGGTCTCAAAAACTTACTGGGAAAACTAGATGTACTAATTATAATTTCATTAATATCACCTTTTTTTAATTTAATGTTTTCAGGCCCAGTAGTAGCAGGAGTCGTTGGTCTGACAATGCCGAGGTATTGCCTATTCGGTGACACTGTGAATACAGCATCGAGGATGGAGAGCAATGGCGAGCCTTTACGGATTCATATATCTGAGCAGTGTAAGCTCGCCTTGGACAAGGTGGGTGGTTACCGAGTCGAAAAAAGGGGAAAAATCTCTTTGAAGGGTAAAGGCCCTGTGACCACCTACTGGCTCGTCGGAGCAAACGATTTTGCAATAAAACGAAGAGAGGTGTGATAAATTGTATCAATTAATATTATTTTAGAATCTAATATGACTTTTATTTAAAGGTCGACGTTACGGAACTCGGTAGACCCTTGTTTTGTCGTCCAAGAAGATCGCCAAGAATGTTAACAGGAGGTGTAGATAGCAGGAGGCAGAGTACAATCTTAAAACAACCAACAAATCCATTGCAACTACGTCAATTTGTACGATACGCACATTCCTTAGATCAATTCCCATCAGTAGCTATTCAACGCTCGGCAGTAAAAAGAAGTTGCCATTCTCTTCAGGTGATTTTGCTTGTTTGTGAGTGTACGTTGTGCAAAGTGCATGTAATTTTCTACTGAACGTTGGTCTGCCAAATATTTCAAATAATACGATCTAACCTCGAATGAAAATAAATAAATTGTTTATTCCATAGGAATACTGTTTAAATTAAAACTATTAAGATTCATGACCTTTACTGGAGAAAGGTTCGGATGATGAAAAAATGTAAAATAAATTTAAGTAGATACGAACTTTATATCTTTTTGTTATCGACTAAAGTCATATACACAAGGTGAGTGAGAATGAAAGTGTGATCGTTGAAACGACAATCCTTCTATTTGTATTTTATAAATAACATTTCAAATATGTATCACACAGTTTAGAGGAAACTGGATTATTTTGTCGTACTAAAATCATTGTTTTGGCATTAAACTGTTAACAACTGTGAACTAAATATTTTTCCAATATTTGACCAACATGACAATTTAAAGCCGACCCATTAAATACCTATGGATAAAAATAGTCATACAATTTTTAATGTGTGTTATTTAGCGACTGATTATTCAATAATTTGTTTAAGAAGTGAGGAACAGTCAGGAATGAAGTATTTTAGAAAAACACCTTTTTCATTTTTTTACCGATGTTTCAACCTTTATTCGGATCATTTTCAAAGTCTGGGTGAATAACAAAACACACCTTAATTTTTTAAAAATACTCTACAGATGTAATAAAATAAATTTTGAACCAAGTATTTCAAACTTACATAAAGTGTGGTGCTATTCTTGCGGTGTCAGGTTTGTTTTGTGTGAAATTGTGTTCTGCGTTTTTATATGATTGTAACAGGGTGGCATAGCTACACCAACGTCATAAAGGGAATAAACTATTAAACTTAATTTTATATTTCCTTTTCCTTTCGTTATCATCATAAAATAATTAACTTTCTTTCCAATATTTGTAACTGTGCCCATTGATTAAACCCCTAATCACAAATCCAATCCAGAAAATCCCTTTTCTCGACTTCCTTTGTGTGAAATAAAACCACCTATGATAAACAAAAATTTCAAAGATTTACCGCTATTTTCCCCACCCTGTCACAATCATATAGAAATTCATGTTTCTCAACAATTTCCCATGAAACAAATACAACACCACAAGAATAGCACTACACTTTATGTAAGCATTAAATACTTGCTTCAAAGTTTATATTATTTACATCTGTGTTGCATTTTTCCAATCGACATAAGTTTTGTAGTTCACCAAGACCCTGAAGATGACCTGAATAAAGGTCGAAACAATAGCAAAACAATGAAAAAGTGTTGTTTCTAAAATATAATTCATTCCTGACCACTCCTCACTACTTCAACAATTTTTAATATTAAATGTGCTTTTTTTTAATTAATCTTTCAATTATGATCTATTTGGCCAGACTTGTAGTTTAGTTTGCAAAACTTTTTTTTTCTTCTTCTTCTTCCCCTCCTCCCATTTACCTACCTCGGCCATTTTGTAAAACTTGTGAATTATTCTACTTTAGGAAAAGGGAATGTCCGGCGAGGTATGCGGCAATGGGGCTTTGGTAGTACCTTTCCTTGGTGACAACAAGAAGTGGCATTCCCTGGAAACAGTTCCAGCAGAGCCGTGTCCAAAGAAGCTGGCTGCGAGGTCTTCGTTTAAAAGTTGGCTCGTTGGCCTTTTCAACAACACTAGCTTCAGGAGTAGCGATGCGAGCTTGCGTAAAGGGGGCTACCAAGATCTTCAGCCGGAAAGAGAGAGCATCGTGTAACTAGGAGATTTAAAAGATTAAATAAAAATGAAAAAAATTAAAAAACAGACAAAAAACAACAACAGAAAAAGTGTTGAAATCGACTACTGTGATTTTTTTACTTCATTTTCAGTATAAGTATAACATTGTGGATTTTGTAATTTATTGAAGGGTGTTAATTTTGTATGACCTAGAAGTGGACTATTTATTGACTGTAATGAATTTATATTTTAATATTGTGAAATAATTGTTGAAAAGTATACTCTGGGGACCTGTGAAAATGTGATTTAAATATTTTATTACCTCCTCCATTGAAATGAACTAGTTTCTTTTTAATTCGCTTACAATTTAAGCACATTGAAAATTTCATGGATTGAAATTTTTTATCGTCCAAAATCGTCTAATGCAATTTGTTTTAAATTTGAGATTAGAATACATGTTATATTGTTCATGTTTTTAAAACTTATAGTAATTTTGTAAAATATAGAAATCCTCTACTTTTACAATTTGATGACGCTTTGTAAATAATATATTTTATAGTTATGTATTACTGTTATTATAGTAACCTGTTTTAGTGTCATTTGAATCATTTAGAAAATTATAGATGTAAGTTATACAAAGATCACTTTGCTAAACATATACATTGTGTAAATACCTTGTTTGGACTTGATAAGCCATATTTATTAATGTAATAGTTACCTCGAAGAATGTAATTACTGAATATGACATTCACCTAATTTCTCTACATATCAAAAGTAAATTTTCATTTTTTTTTTTTTTTTTTAATTCTTTTTTCATTATTTCTATCATCACAGAAAAACTAAGTGATTTTACTGAAGAAGTACATATCGCCTGACCATTAATTGTCCGAAAGCCAAAGCTCAAAGCACAAGGTAACATGTTCACTATATTTTACTTATGTATCGTTTTTCCAGTTATCCCCCTGAAAAAAATAGAAAATTCATTCAAATGCTCTTCGAATAAATGTTTCCATGTTGCCATAATTAATTCTAAGCCATTCTGATTGTTATTATATTCATTGATTCAGAAAAGTATTTTATTTTTTAAATAGAAACCTATTTTCAAGTGATTTATTGTTTAAATGTATAAATTTTGGATTGTGTACATAACATTTGATAAAAGATATAGTTTTCTATTGGACATACAAATGTAATAAATATTTTTATTTCGGGCTTTAGTGGTATAATTATGTTCTATTATTTTCTTGCAAGTTTCATTTATCAACTGATAACAAAGGATTTTAAGTTAAAACAGAACAAATTTGGAAAACTGTAAAAAAAAAATCATGGATGAACTTCAGCAGAGACATTTACATTAAAGATTTGGAGGGATGGCTGTGAATATTATAGATTAAGGGGGAGTGTCACATAGTAAGCTGTGCCAAGTATTAAGAGCTTTATACTACATATTAGTATTAGCTATACATATTCATATAGTCAATTGGCACAAAATGTGTCCAACCTAATTTAAAATATTTTAATAAAGCAAATTTAAATGTTGTTTCATTGTTCCATATTTCTTTTTCTTTCTTGTTTGTTTAAGTACCTTCCAAAATTACTTTAGCTCCATGACGTTTAGTATTCAGGGAGAGAAATGTTCAAAAAGTGGTCTTTTGGCAGCTTACATTTTACAGTATATTAAAAACTATTTATTTATTAAAAAATATATAAATATAGTTTACTTTTAACAAGTTTCAATGTTTAATATTTTATATATTAACGTAATGTAAATTTAAAATGTACAGAGTAAACATCTTGTGTCTGTACGTAGGTTGAAAATACCTTGCAGCTTTTAAAATAATGTAAATTTGTTATTTTTGTTTGTGTCATAATCGTTTTTATCAGCTACATTATCAACACAAAATTGGACTAATTAAAATTTCTTCACTTTTCGGGCAGGCAATAAATTTACACACCTATAAAAATAGTCTTTTCACAATCTACTGCTACCTTATTATTAATAATTAACAGACATTAGTACATCATTATCATTGTGTGTATATGGTCTGTTTGATACCATGGATTTTTGCACCTTTTGAAGACTTTCTATAATGCACAAGAGCTGGGGCAGCATTAAACCCAGTTTCTTGAAGAAAGGTTTGCAGTGGTCTGTTTTTCCTTGTGAAAAACGATCCTCAACACTCAATTTTGTATTATAAGAACGTTTTCTGCATATGATCCATTTGCCCATACATTGAGGTTTCCTGGAATAAATCTATAAACTTTCCTTAATGTATCTGATGTCAATATGCCTCTCAATTTATAGAGAACATAACTTTTGATAGTTTTTTGCTTTTACATAAAATGTAAATTGTTTGTGCCATTTTAAAGAATTGTCGAATATAAAACAGAAAATTTACAGTAATATTGTCTATTTTTGGAAATTAAAAACTAATAAATTTATTTTTCTATGCATTCATAACTAACAGATTTGCATTAAAAAAATAAATAAACACTAATATTTTGTTGAAGTAGTAGGAGCGATCAGGAATGAAGTATTTTAGAAAAACACGTTTTAAAATCGTACCTAGTCTTACCTTTTAAAAAGTTTGATTAGGGATGGTTATGTTTGTTTTGTCCAAAATCAACCCAAGGGTTGATATGATGTTGCGAACCCTTGTTTTAAAAAAAATAATAATTTTAAAAAAATTAAAATTAATTAAAAAATGTTTCAGAAAAACAACCTATTTCCTATATGTATCCCAGAAATATTTGGTTTTATTCTTTTTCTAAATTTATTGACTTGTTAAACCAATTATTAAATTATACAATTGCTAGTATATAGGTGAAAAATATTTATTGTCTTAAGACAATTAAGGCAGGAAAATGTATAAAATGTACAAAAATATGCTGCAATTAGCAAAAATGCATTTATTTTAAGATAAAGTGATGTGCTAATAGTGCATTGTTCTTGTTTGATGTTTCTGATTATCAGGTACGATTCTAGATTCTAGTCTGTCAGAAGCTTCAGGTTTGTCATGTGGCAGACCTCGTCACGATGTTTAGCTTTTAATTTTAGACAAATTTGTACGGCTCCCCATCAAAATGACAGCGGTGATTTGAATAATTATACAAATATATATGTAAATACTGATTGAGTTGCAGATGGGAGAGGGCATTCACAACTTCCCTTCCAAAAAGTGTACAAGAGGAATTGTCAGAAACATTCAATTTACACTAAATACAAAATAATTCATAAACTATAAAAACACTGCAGCTGTTTTGCAGCTGAACTAATGCACTTACAAATGAAATGATTTAGGCCCTACACAAAGAAACCAGCATTTAAAAATGAAAATACAGACATGACACAGAGGACAGAATAAATTTAAAAGTTTCAAGATGGCCAAAGTAAGTGTTAAAGGATAGTTATAGTACCAATATAATTTTTAACATTGATAAGTAACATCATGTAGCTAGTGAAACTAATAAAACCGTGGTTAATTCCCTAAATTGATCCCTCTTGAGGGGTAGCATTATATTTAGTCACTAAAAAAAAGTTACAAAAATTGCTGTAAGTGTAAATCAAATTATCATATATTATCAATTATAATAATTCTAAGAGCATGTACACATTGAGAAAAGAAAAATAAACAGAAAACAAAGATGAGGTGTAATGTGCAATTCTTGTATTTCTTCTTTTCATTTTTCTTTTTTCTTCTTATAGTCTAAAATAAGACAAATTTAAATAATAACTATCAATATTAGGCGATTTTATTAATATTTTTTAATGGGATAACTGGGTCATCTATAAATAAATAAACGTTTTATTTATGCATTTATTCTTAATGTGATGTGCCACTGTTATAATATTGCCTTTTGAAAGTTTTAAAATAGTGTGTGGTGTTTAGTGACCGTTATTTAATGATTATTTGAAAAGGTTTAGAAAAAAATCTTTATCGTGCCAACTTTTCAATCTTTATTGAGCCCTGAAGATGATCTCAATAAAGATCAAAACATTGGCACAATAAAGAAAATGTTTTTCTAAACAGTCACACCAGACCGCATCTCATGATCTCCAAATAATTTTAAAATAGTCTCCAACCCTCAACTGTGTACACTATTATCTGATATGAAGTATGTAAACTTTGAAGAATATATCTGTATTATTAAACAAAAATTGGTAATAATAATATTAATATATTAGCTAACTTCTTGGATTGGATCCTTCCTTATTTATTTTTAATATTCTCTTTTTTTATGGGAGTTCGCAATAGTAATATTAATAAAGACTGACATCTTGGATTGGATACTTCACTTTTTATTTAATTTTTTTAATATTATTTTTATATACTTTTTTCCCACCAAGAAAGAAGAAAGAATTGTCAGAAAATATAAAGGCAAATTAGGAAATTATCTCATTTCTTTCCTGGCCGACTGCTCGACTAACAAACAATAAAAATAATTTGGCACCATTTATTTAATCTATACATGTAATGTTACTGTTAGTTTATACTAAAGTGAGGCTGAAATGAAATTGATTAAATTAAAAGATATATACTAAGGCTAGTTAAGATGTTTATTTATTTTTAGAAAATTCAAAACTGTAAAACAGAGGACAGTACTGATACTGAAGGATTTAAGGAAATAATGAAAAGACCGATTCATTTCATATCTTGCCTGAGCCCATGTTCAGTTTATCACTTTTTTGAAGGAGATACCAATTTGAAGAGGTTTAAAAGAAAAAGCTCTATTTGTAAGAAATGTGGGTATAAAAAGGTGAGCTTCTTTTATGCATTTTTACATCAACAGATTTAAAAACTATATTAAAATAAAAATGACAAATGGTTGCATATGTCATTTTCTAATACTACTGAAAATCTTAACTCATAGCTCAATTTTTTTTTAAACTTTAAAATTAATTAATTCAATTTTTCAATTCATTCTAATTTTAGTTGTCGGAAGGGATTTACACTCACAAAAAGAAACAGGTAAAAATTGCATATACAAACAATTTATGTAAAAAAATATTACATAGTATTATTAAAAACAGTATTTAAATTCTCAATAATTCTAATTTTAGTCATCGGAAGAGATTTATTGTGACAAGAAGAAACAGGTAAAAATTGCATATACAAACAATTTATGTAAAAAATATTACATAGTATTATTAAAAACAGTATTTAAATTCTCAATAATTCTAACTTTAGTCGTCGGAAGAGATTTATCGTGACAAGAAGAAACAGATATAATTGCATATACAAACTTGCAATCTTAATTTATGATAACAACACTTTTACATCTTATGGGGTATTTAAGTTAGTTGAATATCCAAAATATGACAAAAAAATTAAAAATAAATAACATGAAACGTTAATACTTTATTGACTAAGGCTATAATTAGTATTAATCAGATGCCCTAACATAAATCATGTTTTAAACTGCACAATTCTTGATTAATTTGGTATACATATTGTGAAATATGACAGATTTAGCCTGTATAAGGCTGTTAATAAAGTTAAATAAATATGATACAGACTCAAAAACCGAAAACTGAACACTCATATTTTGTTGTTTATTTCAAACTATATGTATTTTTATTAATTACAAAACTTGTTACTAACTTACAATTTAATGTGTTAATTAAATGAGATCAGAAATGAATTTTAATTTTAAAAATATTTATGAGGGTTTGAAAGAAAATTTAGCGATAAGATAAATTGTGTTGTTTTAATCTACTTTAAACAATTTTTCTGTTTTTATTTGAATTTTTTGTTTTGGTGAATTTTATTTCAAACCATCATAATTAAATATTTTTATTAAAACACAAATATAATAGAAGAAATATATAAATATTTCTGATCTCGTTTAATTTGGTTGACAAACAGTCTTTTCGTTTAAAAAATTTACATGAAAATCATTCTAATATTAAGACCTGTAAAAAAAGATAGTTTTATAAAAATTGAAGCGATTACAATTATTATTTATGACTACTATATTTATATTGTTCCAGCCTACAAAAGACATTTTCACCATTACAGACAAGACGGTAACGTTTTTTTTGTTTGTATATGCTTATTTGTAATGCGTAAATATAAAAAAAATTGCATTGAAATCTTCTGCCCACTCTTTATTTATATGTTAATAAAACAACATTCTACAGTTTCAGCCTTCAAAGCATGATAATGTTTATACTCCAACAAACAAGGTAAACAACATAATCGTTATTTTTTATTTTATTTTATTTATTTATTTATTTTTTTGTTTTGTGGTAGGTCTGTGAGTCAGTGAACTCATATTGAACTGGCACAAAGACACTTACTGGGTCTGTCTCCACTCGCGTGTTTTTTGAGTAATTCAAACACATTTTGCCATTGTGATATCTTCAGTGAGGAACTGTCTGTCAAGGCTGAAGATGATGCAATGCCAAAACACACTTGAATAACTCAAAACAACCCGCAAGTGGAAACAGACCCAGTAGTGACCCTATGCTCATTCAACACGACAAAATATATTTTTTTTTAAATAGCACAAGATCACTGAAATGTTGAAAAATTATAATTTTATTTAGAAAAAAAACACCTTCATCAAAGAAGGCTTACAAAAAAGAAATTTTTCAACTATAAAAAGGAAAAAGACAACAATAACAAAAAAACAAAGAAGAATTATATTTAGTACTGTTTTTATTTTCGGATTAATATTATGTTATAATGTTATCATTATGCTCAAATCACCTAATTTCTACAGTATTTGTAGATAAATTAATTGTAATTAATGAAAAATGTTTTTCTAATGAATAATAATTTTTGTAGAATATATGATTAAGATGATACGAAATAAATTGCCTTTTCCACAATAGGCATTTATTACATCAGACATGTTTCAGTCTAATATAGACCATCTTCAGTGACTAAAAAACAAAAGTGATAATTATCACTATTACATTTTGGTATACTTTTTATTATTAGCCTATATATAATTAATATATAATTTGTACCACTTTTGTTATTTAATCAAAGAAGATGGTTTATATTATACTGAAACGTGTCTGACGTAATAAATGCCTATTGCAGAAAAGACAATTTATTTCCTACCATCATCTTGTTATGTAGTTCCACAAAATCAGGATGGACTCCATCAAAAAACCTATGATTATGTTAGTCCTATAATATTTAGTCTTATTGTTAAAGAGAAACTTTGTTACAGAATAGTGTTCCAATAGAAACAGAGGACAAAACCACTAACACAATAGATGTAAAGTTATAAAAATTTTAAACTTGTTATTTTTTATATAATTTTGTATGTATAATAATTTTTAGGCTGAAGTACAAACCACTCCAGAAAAATTTAGTATTTCCTTGCCACCTATCAAACACGTGACACTAGTAAGTTGCATCACTAAATTGTTAAATTCAATTATAATCATTATAATTATAACTTTATGATTATAATAATCTAATTATAATCATTCATATAATTTTGTTTGTTTCAATTTTAAATTTTTAATACGGATGTACATATGTGATTTTTCAGCCTCAGTCTATAATACGTCCCTCTATAGAGAAAAATATACAGGTATTGAATAAATTAATAAAGTATTTGTGGTTGATATTACGGTGTAGTTTGATCAAATTGATTAAGTTGGCAAAAAATATTTTGAAATAGAGGTTTGTGTACACGGGTGTGCTAAGCATGCAGCATCCTCATGTGGAGCAATTCAGTAGCTCACAGTTTGAATGGTAAACGCTGTTTATTGCATTGCAGGCTCAGCACATACTCGTATTACACCTTTGCAGGAGTGAGCAATGTAAATAGACATAAATCATAAAAACTAATTTAAAAAAATGAAAGCACTGACAACCTTCAGTGAACCAACCATTGAAAGTGTGGTATCTGACAATACTAAACCAGAGAAATTCTACGAGTTGATGATGAAAGATGATCAAACTACAAGTACAGTAATACTTCACAATATTATGTATACATATGTATTGTAGATATATTGTTGACAAATTTCATAATAATGGTATGAATTTAGAGAAAATTAATTATTTATTTTAAAGTGTATTGTTTTGTTTTCTTAAGCCTCATGGGAAAGTTACTCAACATTGTGTGGATGAAAAAATCTGTCCCTGTGCAAAAAACGGAATTTCCTGCCCACTTTATCCGACAGAAATTTTAACAAATCAGAACTACAAATTACGCCATAGAGATTCTCCTCAATCTTCCATCACGAAAAAGAATAGCGTCTATTTTCAAAACGTTGAAACTTCAGTGCAAACCGATTTGCAATCGAAGGATTTGAAGCTAGTGCAAACAACTGAACAGAGATCTACACAAACAGATTTTCCAGTTGCAGATACGGTTAAAGGTCGAAGTAAACAGGCATCTATGCAAACTGAATTGCTACTTGATGATATTAAAATTGCTCAGCCCGCAAAGCCAGTCTCTACGCAAACAGATCCGACACTTTCTGATGCAAAGGCTAGACATTCAATTATAACAGTTGAATCTCAAAGCAGTGTAAATGTTCCAAAATCGAACACTCCAAATATTGAAGAAACAACGAAGAAAACTACTCATTCTAATCGTAAAGGATTATCAGCCAAAAGTTTAGAAAAGAAACTAAAATCTGGGAGTTCAAGACATATTAAACATGAAAAAGCCCATAAATCGCCGAATAAAAGAAAACAAAAGCTGTTTGTGAAAACACCTCCTCCGACTCGACAGCAATCTGCTTTTAGTCAAGAAACATCTTTGTAAACATTCCCTTGTGCAGAATTCAACTGACCCTAATGCAAAGAGCTTCTATAAAAAGGTGCATTATTATAAATGAATATTTCTATTATACAATAATTTAAGATCAATATTTACTGTTTTTACAGTTGCAGCTTTTCCCAGGCCAAGTTATCATTTTGATGGAAACAAACTAAAAACTATTTCATTATGGTAAGGAAAAAAAGTCCTCTAAATTACCTTTCGTGTACAGCCAACAAATCATTTTAACTAAACATGCCTTTTTTGTCATTTATGGAAAGATCCTAAGTTTATATTCACAGCACGTAATCTAAATTTGAACTGCTACATTAACATTTTTACATAGTAAGCAACTAATAGAATTGTCTTACAAGCTCACTGGAAAATGGTTAAATAAGCTTTAATATCAATGAAGAGTCTTGGTAGATCAAGGATTATTACTAATTAATCCATATTTGTATTTGGTAGTCATAATTGACTGTATTAGTTATTCAAATTAATTATATTTTTTACCTAAGGTCTTGGTTGAGATGAAAAGGCTAGTGTCACGAGGCTGGATTCAAACATATGATCATCAATATGCCGCTGCTCTAACACTTGAGCTATCGTGACTTCTTGTGATCGTGACCAACCAAGACCTTAGAAAAAAGTATAATCAATCTAAATTATTATTAATAATATTTATATTTACAAAACTACTACTAAATAACATTATTGCTATTATTATATCATGATATATTGACAGAGAACAAGAGAAACTTTTTTGTCGTGTTTCGGGTGTAGAAACACCCCCTGAATTTGACACATTATTCATGAAGCACAGTATATATTCTCATTTGTTGTTTTAGGTCGTGTTTGAACACTGCTTATTCTTAAACCTGGTTGAACATGAAGTCAGGTCCAATTACAAACCTCCATCAAATTACTTTACTTACAAAGAAAGATGAAAATCTATTTAAACATGGATGAATAATCCAATAAAAGCTTTGAAAAGATGGTAATCATCAATAATTAAACATTGCTCACATAGTAGCTTATGTACAAAGTTGAATTTTTATTAAATCTATGTCTAAATGAAAGCTGTACTGGTTAATTTAATTTAAAATATTTTTAGTTGAAAACTTCTAATGCCATTACACAATTGTGGTGACTGCGCAGCAGCCAATGAGCATGCAACGCCCTTCTATAATTTGCATTATTTTTGGGCTATTTTAAATTCCTCTTAAACCGTCAAGTTTAATATTCAATTTTAATGGGCTTTCACACTCGTCATTCATTAATAATCAATAGAGTGAGCAACCATTAGAAATCACAAGCAAGTTTTGTATGGAACAAAAAGTCAGATGAATTCTTAAATAAATGGCATTTGTTTTCTTATTGAGGATACTAATTTGATGTTAAAAAAAAATCATAATGATGACAAAATGTAATGTTGTTATTTAATGTTAATACTTGAACTAATTCAAAATCATAGGAGAGAAGCTATTTTTCCTCTCTCGGCATATTTTCCCCTCAAATGAGTGGCTTTGGTCATTTGGCTCTTTTTAGCTGGCTGACCAGGCCGCCATTCATTTCTTTAAATTTAATGCCTTTGTTGCCATTTGTGTTATTCCATTACTGTGAAATAGGCACATGACTTTTTTCTCTAACTCTGACTTCCAAGCCTTCTCAGTTTCCAGACTTTTCTCTAAACTTCTCAGTTATTAGTAACAAGTTATGGGCTTTGGAGGCTGCAATTCGCTTTTTGGTTAATTAATTTTTTTATTACTTACATAAAAGTAAAAAACAAAAATTTAAATGGGGAAGGAGGCTAATGAAATTTTCCAAATCAATTCCTGCCTACTTGCCAATACAATTTTTAGTGCTATCAACTACCACAACAAACCCAGTGGTAGACCAAATTGGCTAAATCAATTTGTTATTAAAGGAAAATATAATATAATAATTTTTGGGTTAATTATAAAAAGAAATAAATGAAAATCCCCATTCACACTTTTTTAAATGATATAACACATCTGGTAAAAATTAACTATGATTAAATACATTTGCTAAATTAAATAAACCTCTGTCCGAATAAGATTTCAATTCAAAGACTACAAACATTCAAGGAGTTTTTAACAATTTTCCATATGGTAGAAAAGATTTTGAAGTATTTTCAGCTGAGGCATTCTGCATATACAAAAATGCAAATTACAGATACAAAGTCTAATATAGAATATTCATAACTCTTTCATTTCAAACTATTTTGCACTTCCTGTAAGTGAGTATATTTATTTTTAAATTTGGATGTTACCTAAATTACATTGTCATTTAAGATTGACTGTGTGCACTGTTTTAGATGTACCCTTAACATGGCAACCTCGTTTATAATGCAATGGCCAACAAAAAGTCAAGTACCTGATGAAGATACAAGAACATTCCTTAGATACATAGGTAATAAACATCTGAGAAAACAGTAATTAATTTTTAAATATTGAAAAATAATTTGTATTTTGTTTGTTATAGGTGCAGGGTTCCTCGTTGGCTGTGCGCTTTCTGTATTATTAGACTTTGATGGTATAAATATTTTGCATATAAATTTGTATATTTTTTTAATGTTGAGTTTGATATTAATTTATCAGGATGGCCTTTATTTTTTGGAACCAGTGTTGGTGCGGGTCTTGCAACAAATTCACTTGATAATTCTGAAACAAAAATGCTACCTATTCAAAATGTCCATAATGTGTGAATTTGATAACTATTAATGTACAAAATCAAATCTTCAAAATCATATTATTAAAACAGTTTACCACTCTATTTTTTAAATTGACTATTAACAATTTTTTTTTATTAATTAAGAAATATTATTTTCAAAGCCTATATACTCTCATCAGACAAATTAGATTCAATCACAAAATGTGGGGTGATTAGTTTGTAAATAGATTATAAATAATGAAAAACTACTTGATCCCAACTTTTTTTTTGACTTTTTACTTCTCAGTTTTGTGTCCTTTTGATTTAGTATTTTGTTATAGATATTACACTTAGTATAGATTTAGTTTAATGCATTTGTACGTTCATTTTACAGGATTAGTCAATAATTAATCCAAGCTCCGGCAGATGGTTACCTTGCCGTATTAAGTTTATTTTCTTGTGTGAATTATATGTAATTTTTTTTTCTTCTTGTGTGCAATAAACTTATTATTATTATTATTAATGAAAAACTATTAAACACCAAGCCATTTGAGCCCTTATATTGCAGCCAACAACTGTACACAAAGTCATTGCAAAACCAGCAAATATTAACCTGTATAAACATCACCATTGCACTGAAATAAACATCTCTGCAGACATAAATTATGATGAAGGTATATGGAAGTGCAAAACGAACTCATAGTTCACAGTGTATGAGAAAATATCTAATAAGTGAAAGGTAGAAAGTAATTTTGGACAGATTAAATTAAATGAGATAGTAACTTATTATATGACTAACTAATAACACAGATGTTTAGAAGAATAAATCATCCAAATTTAAAAGAATTACCTTAATACAGTACATGTATAGATAGAGCCAAAAAGGTACAATTGGTGGAAAAAGGGCAAAATGATGAAATTTATACCCATGAGACATGAACTCTTTAATCTTCAAAGCTGAGGTCATATGGGTTGCTCATTTCCAATCATTTTGTTCTGCCTATTTTAGTCTGTCAGATGCCTTTCAGCCTTACACTATCATGAAGGGTGACTGGGTTAATAAACACCACGGAACAGGTTCATCATCTCACAAACCTCACGGTGTCATCTCGCAATGAGGTTATATAAATTACCTTTGTATATGGAAATATTTAGAAAAATACTTGAAGGTGGAAAGATCGACAATCAGATATCTTGCTGCATCTACACCTTTAAGGACATTATATTCATATAAATTTAGCTACAAGTTGGTCTGGAAGTGCCTACATCCCAAGTGATAGTTCAGCCCTAAGAGCGAGCCCGGACATGAGGGGATAAAGGTCAAATTTTATTTATTATATAAGTGGGAAATTTATGAGCCGACAAACAGCTGAGGTCATCGCCAGCCCTCTGCGTGTTTTCCTTCTTTTTCTTTTCTTTCACGCATATTTTGTTTTAAACTGCAACTGTTCGATCTGGTTACTGACTCTCTGATTTCAAATATATATTGGGTTGTCCGGAAAATAATGCAGGATTTTAAGTTTTCATTAAAAAAAATCTATATAAAATATTCTGTTTACGTTTACAGGATTACTCATTTGTATGAATGTCAACACTTATTAATCCTCTTCCAAATGATATTGTTTGTTTACCTCTGTAGCATTCCGCTACTTGGAAATAATTCAGTCATCCTTATAATGTCAAAGCGAGAATTTCGTACGATTTTCTTTTACGAGTTTAAACTCGGCCGAAGCGGAGCCCAAACGGCTAGAAACATTAACCAAGTCTGGGGCGAGGGTTGTGTTAATGAGTGCACTGTGCAAAGGTGGTTTAAAAAATTTCGGGAGGGAGATTTCAGCCTTGAAGATGAAGAAGGTCGTGGAAGGCCTTCCTCTCTTAATGATGATGTTCTGCGATCAGTGGTGGAAGAAAACCCCAAAACAACTGTTCGAGAACTTGCAGAGCAACTCAAAGTCAGTAAAACGACCGTCGCTGACCACCTCAAGGCGATTGGAAAAGTGAAAAAACTCGAAAATTGGGTTCCACACTCATTAAACGATCGCCAAAAAAATCAGCGCTTTGATGTTTGTGCATCACTTCTTTGTCGAAACAAAAATGACCCATTTCTGGCCAGAATTGTTACATGTGACGAAAAGTGGATTCTCTACGATAACACTAGACGTTCTGGACAGTGGCTCGACAAAGGAGAAGCTCCAATACATTTTCCAAAGCCCCCAACTCATCAAAAAAAGGTAATGGTTACGGTATGGTGGGCTTCATTTGGTTTAATACACTACAGCTTCTTAAATCCTGGCGAAACCATCAATGCTGAATCATACTGTAACCAAATTAATACCATGCATCAGAAATTGGCAGTAATGAAGCCCTCTTTGGTCAATCGGAAAGGGCCCATTTTGTTGCATGACAACGCTCGACCACATGTGTCACGTGTAACGTCACAAAAATTATTGGAGCTTGGCTATGAAACTTTGCCTCACCCACCCTACTCTCCGGACCTCTCGCCTACTGACTACCATTTTTTTAGACACCTGGACCACTACTTACAACACATAATATTCAAAAATCAAACGGAACTGGAAAATGCATTTATTGACTTTATCAATTCTAAAAATTCTGAATTCTACTCAGACGGAATTAATAAGTTACCAACACGTTGGGAGAAATGTATTGAGAGTATGGGAAATTATTTTGATTAAAGAACATTGCTTTAAAGTAACTAGTTTCTTTTTTTTTGTTTAATACCAAAATCCTGCATTATTTTCCGGACAACCCAATACATCGATATTCTAGAATGCTAGTCTCTCGTTTGTACCTCAGGTTGTCAAATGCAGAATAGAAACAAAACATACAATACATATATATACATCACCACAAATATAGATGTCTGGTCACATTCACTCCCACAGAGTACTCGATATTCCTCGGGATGGGGTTATCAGCAACCCCTTCCTTTCACGCTAATAAATTACTTTTACTTTCCAGACTTCATACACTCACCCCAGAGTACTGGATATTCCTTGGGGCAGGGTTATAAGCGACCCCTTCCTTTCACGCTAATAAATTACATTCATTCCAATAAATTAACATAAAGTCAAACATAGACACAACACAAACACATAAAACTATATCCATTTAAAACCCCTATAGCCCTGAGGTACTGGAACAGCAATCTGTGCCCGCTACCGTGCATTTTAAATTTTATTTATTAAATTCACAATTTGTTTTTTATTCTGAAATACAGACATTATATTCAAATTCTCACAGAGATTATTTATATCATTGTACCAAAACAACTTTCTAGTGATTATTTCATACTTGTTTTATCAACTAGGTGACAGGCTTAGACATTTATTTATTTAGCACAAATTTAACTTTAGTGTGAACAAAAATACTGGGAAAATTCCAGTTTCTAGATAAATTCTAGGTGTGTTTAGAGGCAAATCAAAACATTTATTTATAAAATATTTGAAGGTTATTTCCATATTTTTTATTGTTGTGATGACCCCAGATTTGTGCCCCAAAACACTGTATCACTCGTGAAATGCTGTTAAAAATTTTAATTTGGAAACAATGGAATTTCATTATTAAATATTATTTTATTAAAGTTGTGCAGAGAAAATTTTGCACTCTCTTTCTTTTCTTTAAAGATGTTGTAAGGACAGAGTTGGAGTTAAAGTTATAACCAAATGTTTATATTTGTTAAATATTTGTATTGATTAATTTTTGAAAAACCATGTCTTGTCTAGGTCTTCAACCATTCCTGAAAATTATGATTTTTTACTTATTCAGGTTTACCTCCAAGTTCCAGGTATCGCGATACTTTTCTAAGTAACTAATTTTTTTAGATTAATTTTATCTGATGCCATCAGAACTAAATCATCCGCTTACTTTAACATGTTAAACCGATTACTACACCATCCAAGCACCCTTGCAGATCGTTAATAAAAAGCGAAAAGTAGCGAGCTTAACAGGAACCCTTGTTTGACGCTCATAGGGTCAACCAAATGGTTAGGTTAATCCATTATGACACAATACGGAGGCAAAGGTTCCAGTAGATAATTTTTTTTTGGAATTGATCATTTTAGTCAAAACCCCTAATTCATATAAACTTAAAAAACAGATAATGATGATAGTCGATGCAGTTGAATTGTTTTGACTAATTACATGGTGAAGTAATATTCATAGCAGTCAATGACTCCTGAGTGTAATTAAGCTTGTTCTTTGTTAAATTTGTGTCGTAATTAAATTATACCCTTGGGCTTTTCCAGGCAAGAGTTTTCTTTCTTTTTTTTTTTGTTTAATTTTCAAAACGAATCGATCTCTCAAGAAATTCGGAACGAATCGATTGCAACCTTTGAGTCACCACACCACGATGTTACCTACCCGTTTATGAGTTCAAACAATAACAAACAAGTGGTATGGTGCTTTTTAAATAAAACTTCAGTTTCTGTCAAAAGTGTAAAAAATGAGCGATTCTTCAGAAGAACCTCCTCCCATCATCGTGAGAAACGCAACTAGTCTTCAGAGGCTAAAGTTGGAGAAATTAATGAAGAATCCTGTAAGTCCCTTTGGTACATCTTGGGCTGTGAAGTCGTCTTGTTGGTCAACTTAGAGCATTAATATATTATGTTTATTTTTTTTTTTAGTCTATAAATTCTATATAGTAAAATCTTTATTTATTCAATTTAAACATTTTACCAAACGAAGTGTGAAAGCTGGTCATACAGTAAATACATTTTTTCATGCAGTGAACATATCCAACTCAACTGGGTTTGACAGCACAGGTCATATCACACACCCACAAGAAAAGTGACACAACTCAGTTTTACAGGAGAGACAGATGGAAGTTAACTTTTTTTGGCTTGGGGATTAAGTACATTATCCAGTTGTTGGCAATAAAAACTGTGTGGTGTTTAGTGACCATTAGTTAATGATTATTTGGAGATCGTGAGATGCGGTCTGGTAGTAGGTTTTAGAAAACATTTTCTTTATTGTGCCAAAGTTTCAATCTTCATTGAGATCATCTTCAGGCTCAAAGTGTTTGTTTTCTGTGTAGATGTGTCATTATTGGGTGTCATGTTGAGAGGGCACCCAATAATGACACATCTACACAGAAAACAAACACTGAGCCCTTAAGATGATCTCAGTAAAGATCGAAACGTTGGCACGATAAAGAAAATGTTTTTCTAAATTGTCTTTAGTTTCACCAAGACTTAAGCGAAAACAAAAAACTTTAAAAATCCTGCTGTACTACTTCTAAAAACCTACCCCTTTTTGAATAGTGACACTTTTCTTGTAAATTAAGTTAGTTTGTTGCTCTAACAATAATGGTGGTCAAGGGATGTCTGTAAAGTTATTAATTTTTTTGCAATAGTAACAGACAGCATACAAACAAGCATAAATATCTGTTACAAAAAAAACATATTTTTACAATTGATTTAACTATTGTTTTTCATAATGTGAAATTAATATAGGTCCTGATGATGTCCTTTAATAGGTCTAAAGCTTAGCAGTAACAATTGAATTTGCATTTTCTTCAAGACCACACCTTGATAAAGAGTTCATGAGTGAAAAAGTAGTCTTTACTTCTGACATTGAAAACTAAAATAATTCTAAAATTTTGCTCTTATATCGAAGGGAAAAATGCAGCATAAGAACTAAGAATGATGTTAGATTCAATTAAGGACAGGCAATCTTATTTTTAAGATAAGCATAAAATATAATTGTGTTAATTCAAAATTTACAATATTTCGATTTTCTGTTTGACCTACAACTTTGAAGCTGAGCATTCATGCTTCCCAGGTTTGTTAGTGATATGACCTCTGTAGGTCAAACTTTCCTTCTCGTTAACCGTCATTAAAGTGCAAAGAGAATATCCATCACTTTGCCTTAAATTAGTTGCCAAAGAGGTGGAATTTGAAAATTGATAGACTTCATTATAGTAACGGCAGTTTCCTTTTTGTTGGTTTTCAATGTATTTAGAATGTAGATATAATAATCTAATAAAATGTAGATGTAAAAGTCATTTTTACAAATATTTAAAATATATATATTATATATACAGTAAGTTATTCCGGAGCAGCACAAAATCCTTCACTAAACAAGCTGGACAACAACTATGGTATGCCACTTTTCACGAAGGAAGACAGTATGTTCCTGAAAAATTCAAAAGTGACACATGGTGCAGCTGACACATGGAGTAGTGAAAAACATCTTCTCTTAAGGTGCATGTCCACTTGAGAGTAAATCATATGTGAACTCTTTGAAAGTTGAATTTTGCCAATTCTTCTCTCAAGCTACTCACCATCAATTTTCTCACGAGAACTCCACTGTCAATTTAGTTGACTATTTGAGAGTGGTCATGATCGTGATAGAAAACCAAAGCTGCATTAATTGTTGTAATTATTGCACACATTTTACCTTAGATAACAAGTACCAAATTAGAATAATTAATTCGGTCAATTAGGACTACTAAACATATATGGATTAATAGAAGAACGAACTTCGGTGCAAGCCATACACTTACTCAAGAATTACTATTGGAAGATGTGCATCAGTTCAGAAAGTATAAGAAAATTTTATTTATAATTTGTGAGTTTTTTAAAACCACATAGAAAAATGTAAAAATACATATATTTATGTATTCTAAAGTATATATAATGTTACATTATACAATTATAATGTAAATTTATATTAATAAATATATTTATGTTAGTAATTAATTTGTATATTATAAATTAATGATTAAACAAATATATAAATTTATGGATCCCTGCTTTCAGGAAAAACCAATTTTGATCCCAGAAAGGCAGAAAGAAAGGAAACTTCCTCATGTACCGGATTTTGTTAGAAATGTCATGGGGTCGAGTGCTGGCGCCGGGAGTGGCGAGTTCCATGTTTATAGACATTTGAGGCGTAAAGAATATGCAAGGCAGAAATACATACAAGAAAGAGGTCAAAAGGTATCAAAAAATAGCTCAAATTTATAAATTAGAATAATGTTAATATGTACTGCAGTATGGAGAGTTGGTTCAATTCTTAATTTTATATTGCTCCCAAAAGGCAAATATTTTGTTTATTTACTATTAATATAACAATAGTAGTAGTTATTTCAGAAAAATTATTTACTAAATTACATAAAATATAAATAAAAGACAAAAACATTAAAGTTACATTAAAAAACATTACATTATGTGTGGGTGTGAATGTAAATTATTAGCCTGAATGAGGGGATTATCTCCCATCCTGAGGAATATTGAGTATTCTGTGGTGAGTGTGCTGTCTGGAGATGGAAATTAATTTATTAGCAAGAGTGGAGGGTTTAATGAACCTACCCGAAAGAATATCGAGTTCTTTAAGGAGTGAATGTGACCAGACTTGTCTTCTTATGGAAAGTAATAAGATGTTGGCTTCGTGACATAGGACAGGGTGTCTGGCTATCTCATTGTGGAGGGGGTGTTTTCAGGGGCATTGTCTGCCTGCTCTTCACCAGGGTATTGCAGGGGTTCCTCTACGCATTGTCTGGGTGTTTTCAGCCATTGCTAGCATGTTTACGGGAAGGTGGGAATCATGAAAATCTTTGTCATGTGTTGTTTTAACAGTAATTTGACAATCTGAGTACTTTTGTGATGTTAGCAAGTTAAGCAAACTGGAGACATATTATGAGAGTACATGGCAAAGATGTGTGAAAAAAAATTCCATTTAATCTTCATGTTTGTTGGGCTTTAAATAATACATTCTACTATTAGTAAATCTAGTAAATATGGAATAAAAGTAATAAAAAATGTAAAACAAAAAATTGACTTTTGATACCATGTATGTTATAAACCAAAATCAATAAGTTAAAGTTAATTAAGTAATTAATTGAGACATTATCCTTATTTTCTCATTTCTACTTCTTGCTTTATTTACTCATTTTAATAGTTAGTTCAATATTAATATTTTAGTAACATCTTTTTATAATGTTAAATAGCATTCTTCTAAAGAAAATACCTATATACCTATACCTAGGAAAACAAATTGATGTTTTTAAATATATAGATACACCATTTATATTTTTATTTAATTTTTTGCAGATATTAAGAGATGAGGCATATCAACGTAAGCTTGAGGATAACAAGAAAGCGGCTGCAGAGAAGACTGCTAAAAAGAGGGCTAAAAGGTTGAAGAAAAAAGAAAACCTTAAGAAAAAAAAGCTTTTGCTCAAGAGCAAGCCCAAAAGTGAGAGTGATAGCAGAAAAAGTGAAAGCGAATTTAGTGATAGTGACGTTAGTGACAATGAGGATAGTGATATCGTCAAGCCGAAGGAGGAAAACGGCAACCAAGAAAGCCATGAGGTTGGAGGAACTGATAAAGAAAATGACAATGAACAGACTGAGAAAATGATAGTAGATGAAGCCAAAGAGGAAGAACCTTCTAAACAAACTAATAAAAATGAATCGAACGAAGGGGAGGAGAGTAATAAACAAACGGTTGATGAACCAACATCAGTGTGTCTGAATTAATACAATTAATACAAACTTAATTGTAATGTTTTTGTAAATAAATATATATGTAAACTCTTTTTTCTATTTCCTTACAATTTAAAGTAAAATTTAATAATTTACACCTGTTTGTAAAAATAGCATTTATTTTAAAGACATTCATTTTTATTATGTGTTGATGTCCTTTAACATAATGTTAATACTCAGACAAGCCTACATCCTTTATCCAAATTGAAATTTTTTGATTAAGTTAAAAATGTATTACAGCAATACTTATCACATTTAATTATTTGATGGTTCCATTTGTTTATTCCATCTATAATCTATTTAACATTTATTTAAAAGTTACATTTTAATTATTTAAAGAATGACACCTTTTAATTGTATTCATAACTTTTAAGTTGTAGTATTTTGGCACTATACAAAACACCAGGGTCATGAAAACTTCACAATTCATCATGAGGCCTTTCTATGAAATTGTATCGTGAATCTTCATGAAAATTAACCTTTCTCCAAAAGCGAATTCTGCCATAATTTGGATCTGTAATGAACTCATCGTCCATAGGATTGGCACTTTTAACCTTCAAATAGGAATAATCAGGTAAAGTCTTCTTCAGTGGCAACAATTTTTTTTTAAAAGGTTTCCTGGAAAGATTTAGAATTTAAAAATCAAATTAAAAATGGAGCAAACAAAATTATTTTACCCAGTAATAAAGGTCATCCACAAATTGACCATTCTTTTTGACATTTCCAATGACTCTTTGATATGGTCAAAATTCACATCTTCAGCTCTGAGAACATAAAACAGGTCATCAGCATGACTTGTACCTGTGTAATCAATTTATTTATTATTTCATTTTATTATTATTTTATCTTTCTCAGCATAGACTCACCTGAATAGACATCCCTCGATAAATTGAAGCGTTCTTGCAGGCCAGTTTTGCCCAAATATGAAAACTGGATTGTGTAAACATCAGAAGAAAGATATTTTGCGTGATACAAGGCAGTTAACGATACAGGCACTTTAAACACTCTATCCCCAATCATCTTTAACAAGTAATTTAAAACAATTTATAGAGTTTGAATTACTGACTTATGTCGAAGTCTAAGATAAATCATTCGTTTTGTCTGTCGGAAGTGTTCTGATTTTTTCTCACTTGTGTTGGCTGTGTGTTATTTTGTAAAACTTTTATTAGTTTGTAAAATGTGAATTGAATGTACAAGCTTCACTTTAAACTCAGTTCGACCACAGAAGATGGCAAAATGACCGAATCAACAATAATGAGCAGATGGTCGAAGATTCTCACCTTAATTATTAATTGTAAGTTCATTGGCAGATAAGGACTGTGAATGAAATGAAATAACCTTAAAACGTACAGGGGGAAGACCTGGTTAACCATTGGTGGACCAAATTTTTTTGGTAATTCTACATTCCAACATATCGGACATGTATCTGCTACTTCTTGTGAATAGGCTCTGGTTTTGCCAAAAAAAGTTGAAATTTTCCATTTTTAAATATTTTTTATTTAACTATCCTACTTGCTCAAATCAACTATGTGAATATATCACTGTACAGCATTGTTTATGAAGATTGCAATAAAAATATAGCACAAGCTATCAGTTTATTAATCACCAAAAATAAATAAATATTTTTCAAGTAAACTAGGTCATAATTTTTTTTCTTCATGAAACTAATATGATATTGTTTTAGCACCTCTAAATATAAATTTTTGTTTGGATATAAATTTATGAATTTTTTTGACCCCTAAAATTGTTCCAATTTTTAAGAAGTTGTAATTAGAATATCTTATTAAAATAACTAAAAGAATTTTAACGTAACACATACCATTTGAAAGAAGAGAAACATAGCTTTTTAATGACATATGTACCATTAAAATACATACAAGATTCCTACAAGAAAACAGAAACTCGTTTTTTAAATAGAAAAAATAGTCCAAATTTAAGTACTTGATAATTTTTTTTAAAATGAATTTTCATGAAAATCAGTCTCTTAGGTTTTGAGAAAAATGGTGATAGAGCTTGCACTAGGAATGTCAGTCAGGTAGAAAGGACATCGAAATTATCAGTTAAAAAAATTAATTTTCACCAAATTCCATAAAGGCAGTATATATTTTATAACGCCAGAATCACAACAATGAGGTCAAAAACAAATTTTGACTATTTTCTGACCTGCTGCACTTAATTGTTGGTTAAAACATGCAAAACAAGCAGTATTTTGTTGATTTATCTTTTGAAATCATACCAATATTCTGCATCGTAGAACTTTTTCATTTTTATGGTAACCAACAATAATATTATTATTATTATTACACCAAAAATAATATTTTTTTAATCTATAAATGATGATTTATGCTCATTTCAAATCTATAACCCACCAACTCGTCCTCCCTTTGTTAGTAATTATTAATAACAATTGATTAACATTTTTCGTGTTTTTGGTATTTTTAATAGCAAAAATTAGCTTTAAAAAAAATTTACCTCAATAAGTGCTTTTTTCTTATCTTGCACTCGGTAAGCTCCAAAATATTCGTTTCTAATAATTTTGCTAACTGCCGACTGTTTATTAATGTGGGTAGTAAAATTGAAATCAAGAAGATGTGGAAGCACTGTCTCCCAGTTGTCATTTAAATATTCCACTTCTTTTGGATAAGCTAAAATCTCTGGAATAATATCATATAACATAAAGCAAACTTTAAACATAAATTTTAGCCAGGAAAAAGAAAAAAATGAAACAAACCAGCTCCTGGATAAAGTCCTTCGTCTTCAGTGAGTGAAAACAAAATGGGTACATCATTGACCATTTTGTTACGAATCAGATAAGAGGGAAGTTTGTCAATGAATGCGTTATTCCTGTTATGTTCGATCACTGGTCCAAATGGTGTAAATGGATTGTAAAGCCACGGCTAAAAAATTTGAATGCCTTAGCAGCATCTACGTACATAATAAGAAAAATTGTACAAAGACATTTTCAGATTAAAATACAATTTTACTCTTTAAAATCATGTAATTATAGTAATTATGACAGTATAGTAAAACTAACCAAATAAACTTTGCAAATAAAAGTATCTTTTAAGATTACTGAAGTCAAAATATTTGGACTTATCTTTTTGATGTGACTAAATTGACAATGAACTAACAGTTATGTCATTAATTCATTAATAATTTACACTGCTTCATAAAAAAAGTGGTACACTTTGAAATTTTTATTTCTTTTTTAATGGACTTGCTTTTCATCAATATTAACACTATATTTTTTAATTTCAGATATTTATTATAATATTTGGTTAGTTTTAATATAATATAGTGTGAAAATAAAAATACCTTCAAAAACAACAAGATAATTAAAAAAAGTAAAAAAAACACTTGTGAATGTACACAAAACATTATAAACCAAACTAAAAAATCATTAATAGGGTGTATTACCTCCTCCAGCTCTTATTATACACCCTAATATTCTCATTCTTAACCACTTTTTGAGAAATTTCATTCCAAATCTCAACTAACGTAACTTTCAGCTCAGCTAAGGTTGTGTTATTTCTTTGTTTTACCCAACAACTGAGCTTGTCCCAAAAGTACTCAATGGAGTTCAAATCATGGATATGGGCTTGGCTTCTCAGAGTGAAAATATTGACATCTCGAAGCTACTGCATAACACTGGTGGTGACAGTTGGTCTTGCATTATCTTGCGTAAACAACTATTTCTGCACCAATAACAGGAGCAAATGGCACGACATTTTCCTAGAGAATTTCTATCAAGTAGATTTTACATTGAAAGACGGCCTATTAAAAATGTTAACTATGGTTTTGCATTCAAAGAAATTCCACTCCACACCAAAAAACTGAACCACCTCTGGACGACCTTCTTCTGGCGATGTTGCATTGGCTCTACAGCTGCTCGATAAACTTGAAGACATCCATCTGGTGAATGGATAGAAAATTGGAACTTATCCAAAAACATAACACTCCTTCATTACAGTATCTGTTGAATGTTGGTGCAAACCCGATGCTGGCCTTATGGGATGTGCTCATTCCTAAAAGTCTCCTTCTTATTGTTTCAGCTCTAATGGACACATCCCGCACAGTTCAAAGTCTTTGAGGCGTTTCAGATGGAGTGGAAAAGCGATGTCTCAGAGTGTGAAATTTGATAAATCAGTTGTCAGCCAGTCCCCTGGCTCTGGTCGTCCTGGTCTCTGAGTACACCTTGTACAGTTCATTTGCATCTCCTGGTACTGCTGTTTAGGCAAATCTAAAACCCTCACAGCATAATGCTGATTTCTTAAATCATCAGCAAGTACAATGGCAAGGGCAACTTGCTCGCTGATTATAGGCATTTTTGTAATCATTTTGCTTTGTGCGACAAGCAAGGCAATTTTTAAAGGCATTTTTAAAGGATTAAATGCCACTGTTGATGATTTTCATTGTGGAGATTTTAAATCAAATAAGAAATTAAGTGATTTTGCCTCACAATCAATGACAAAAAAAATACTTTCCATCTAATTATAAATATTAAATCATTTTTAAAAAATACGTTCAAAACATTGTCAAATTAAAAAAAGAAATAAAATTTCCAAAATGTGCCACACTTTAGCAGTATGTTTATTCAAAATAATTTTACCATGAATAATTTTGTCAGTTGGACAATTTGTTTGCCAGGCCGGTTCCTCAGGCAATCGACCATTTTTTCTGTGTCATATACAGGGCATCCCATTTCATTTGCAATCGTTTCAGCTTTGCCTTTTGAATTTTCGGTCTGCGCCCAGTGGCAAAGTGCTGATCCGCTAAGGATTATAGCACGTTTGAACAAACCTGGGAAATAGAATTAATAATTTACCAATTATTAATTATTTATTTGACATTGATTAAAACCTTTGCTCCTTGAAGAAAGAATATGATAATGGGTACTAGCAGCTCCTGCAGACAATCCGGACAAGGTAATTTCGCCAGGGTCTCCTCCAAATGCTTTTATATTATCGTAAACCCATTTCAGGGCAAGATTCTGATCTTTAAGACCATTATTACCAGGTAGGATGTCATCTTCAGTGCTTAAAAATCCTAAAAAATAACAACTAACAACTTAGGAATGATAGTGGTAAGAAAGTATATTCCCTGGTGCTTAGGTATTTTAGGCAATATTTAGTATTCTCTGCATTTTGTAAATTGTCTCTGAGAACACACTTCATCATCTTCATTAAGTCTTAAACTTACACATACTGACTGTGTTTTACTAGTTAAATAAAAATAATTTTACATTGTAGAATGTAAAACTTCTATATTTAAAAGATATCTTGCACTCTCTGTATTAATAAATTCATTTATAACTACCTAAAATGTACGTGTATATATAATCATAATCTTTTCTTTACTTTGTTGTTAAATACATTACCTAAAATGCCAAGCCTGTAGTTCATAGTGACTAAAATAACATTGTGATCCAACAAATACTCAGGTCCACTTGTCGACCCAGATAAAAACATAAATGCTCCGCTATGTATGTTAATGAGGACGGGCAGAGAATTAGTTTTATGTACATTTGGACTCTGGAATGTTCATTCGTTTACTGAAATACACTGTGAGAGCATTAAAAACAAAATTAATCAATTACCTCTGGGACATAAACATTCAGGTACAGACAATCTTCTGATCCGTAAACGGGATCATCCATTTTGTAGTAATAATGACTGTACTGAAGGCAGTCGTTGGGTACACTTGTTGCATTGAGCAATCCTGGCCATGGTTTTGATGGAACTGGTTCCTGTTCAAAAAAATCATCATAAATTAAAAATAAATTCATTTGTTTCTTTTTTTGTGTTTAAAACTCACTCTGAATCTTAGATTTCCAACAGGCGGTTCTGCATACGGTATCCCCAAGAAAGCTGCTATTTTTCGCCCCGAAATAGTTTCGATGTATTTTCCTAGGACCTTACCCTGCAATACTGCTACTTCAGGGCTTGAGTCAGCCCACGAACACAATATTGTCGTAAGGAATAAACATAACAGAAAGAACTTCACCATTGTAGGTTGGTCTTGTAGCTATGTAGATGAAAGACTTGTTGATAAGGCGACAAATAGTAGAATACAAGGACAAGAGTTATCTCCTTTTATGATTATGTATTCTATTAACAAAAACTCCTAGATTAAAAATAGATCACTTACATTAAAAGTACTAAACCTACTATAAGGCGTTCAATTGATTTAATACATACAAACAGTTTATATAGTCAACAGCATGACAAAATCTAAAAAATTGTGAAAAGGTTATTCTAAATTTTAAACTATTCTTGATAGCGTGTAGTACAGGCCAAATATTTAACTATAAATAAATATCCTATGTGCACATATATCATGAAATTGTCATAACAAACATCATTAGTCCACATTCAAGATCTAAAAAAATACATAAACATAAAAAAAGGGGGTTCAATGTAATCTAATCTAACAGGATTAATGTTTTTTTTATAATTAATGCATAACAAAGAGTTATTTAATTGTTTCAGTTCAATGATCTTTACTATTTAAAACGTTTTATTCATAAATATTTTGATGCATCCTATTTTCTGTCTCTAATATTAAAATACAATTAATTTTTTCTGCCTTTGTGTACATGTATTTCAAGGTTCTTATATTATATCAGCCTTTCTCACACCCTCTCTCTCTCTC